TAACCCACCCAGAACCTTTCGGAGAATGTGAATACTTCCCAACACTGCAGAGATCTGCATTACCCAGATTTCAGAAGGGATGTTTTCCTGGTAGCAAATCCGGGAACTCTCCCAGTGCCATTCATCAGATTGGGAGGTACCAATCCTGAGGCACAGGATACAAAGGGGAGTCGGACAACTTGGAACTTGGGATGCAAGCGTGTCATTTCGAAAGCGAGGTCCGCATATTTGGCATGTTTTTTCCTCAGTCACATTCCTGCCAAAGGGGCAGAAAATTCAATGATATTAATGATTTCATTGGATTTATGAAAAAGGAGAGGATCAGGTTTGTTGGCCTGGATAAGGACTTTGTCTTTATCATTTCCATGACGCCCTCTACATATTTTGGGTCGTACCATGGATGGACCTCTGAGTCAAAACCACAAGTATATATGGCAAAGACGGTAATAGAAGGATCGAACCACTCCATCATGTCGATTAAGATACTTTGTGCCAAAGCTGGGCAACCACTGACAAAATGTTGGACATTCTCATTAAATTAATTGTTTAATCTTCATTTCATATTCAAATTTTGATGCAAAATCACACATTGGCGGTTTCTAGTGGGAAGCGACTGATCCTGAGCAGCAAACAGAAAGTCTTCTGTTTCACTTTTCAGGACTGCCGACTTCATCCAAGCGAAGGAGTCCGCAGGGTTGCTGACCCTCAACACATTGCGATTATGTTTCTAGGTTTGTCAGCACCATGCCCGTGCTCGTGGATTTCACCGAAGTGGTAAACGTCTGAGACCTGCATCATTTCGGGCTTTCCTCCCACATTAAGCTGACACGCCGTGATATGACTGGAATACTGTTAAAAGCGGCGTTAAACCCAACTCACTCACTCACTGATATTAAGTTCATCAAGTTGATAAGTGCTTCTTTCCTTGAGACCAATTCTAGTCAGAGCTGTCAAATAGAGTAATAAATTCTGAGTTTTCAAATCCATGTCCACAAAAATTCAGGCTAGTAAAATGTAGATTATTGACAGACTTAAAAAATAATAAATTCGATCTTAATTCCACAGAGCGTGGTGAATGACTCGCACACATAGAGCCGATCTATATTCAAATAAGAAACACACGCTTGGGCAAATTCTTGAAAAACTGCTCTGCGTCGACAGGTCGTACTGGCCTTACAGGCGGTAAACACACACACACACACACACACACACACACACACACACACACACACACACACACACACACACACTTTTCACAGATACACACACACACACACACACTTTTCACAGATACACATTCTCCTCCTTGCATTCTCATGAATACCATAGATAATTATCACAATACTATAATATATGACAATACTTCATTTGAAAGATGCTAAAATAACGGACTTTCATTGGGCATCTACTCATGAAACTACTTACAGAAAGAAACTATTGAAAGAACTATTTAACATGAAAACGCTTGTTCTTTCTGTCAGATGGAGCCAGAAAATTGTTTATGTGTTTCTGTCATGTGCACTTATGAAACGATTCTGGAATGAATTGACTGTCTACTTAAACACACATCAAATACACAATAATATATTTGGCACTTCATTTGGGCTTAATAAAGTTTCACATACAGCAAAAATATCAAAACTAAGCTTTTCGAAATCCCTTGAACGCGACGTTAAACCTCATTTCACCTCACTGAAACAAAAGCGACAGAACCCGTTTCCATATTCATTAGAAATATGTGCTAAAAGCGGAGTAGTTCGCACTCTCATGAGCAAATGATGATACCAGGTGTTCGCGAAAAGGTGAGCGTATCCTGCCCAACTGTTAGCACCCGCCACAAACGCAGGCAAAGCTATGTTATAACTAAAGTTGTGTGTTTGCTGACGTGTAACAGTAGAACAGTCTTCATTACAGCTGTATAACTTCTGTGAGTGAACTCAGGGCTGCATAATTGAATGTTAGCTGTGAACAAGGTCATCGATTTACGACGGGTTCTAAGCCTCACAGGGAAAGATTCGACCTTACGACATTAAGATGACTGAATTTCAACAAAATCTTCTTCCACAATGATACATGTTTACCAACGATGATGGAGGGACTTTCTTGGCTCTTCAAAAAGTTCTCAACAGCTGCTATGACGTCATCGGTCGCGTCCAAATGGGTTCCGGTTAGGGATTTCTCCACGTTTGGGGACAGATGGAACTCTGAACCAGATCAGGAGAAGAACGCAGATTCCGAAGGGGTTCACAGCCACACATGTGGATTGTAGCGATGGAAGTGACTGATTTGTGCACTTAAGCATTTTTCTAATGGAAGGGCGCACTTATTCCTAGCATCTCACGTCTCTTGGTGTTAATTTCATCCTGTGATCACCTCAAAAGTGCAGCATAATATGCTTCATTTATTTTCTGACCTTTTGGAAGATAGTCCAACATGATGCCACCCTCGGCATCCCAGAACACTGAGACATATCCTTTCCAGCTGATGGGACAGTCTTTGCCTTCATTGGAGGTGTGTTAATGCTTCCACTGTTTTGATTGTTGAGTGGTTTGAAGTGATGAACCCATCCATAATAACAAATCATTGGAAAAAAACTTTCTGGATCAGCTTCTAACAGAACTAGATTATCACGACATATGTGGCTGGTGCGAATTTGATCAGATGTCAGAAGCTTTGGAACCAACGAGCCGATACTTTCCAAAGTGTCTGTGAAATGTCTCCTCTCCCAGGAAATGCTTACTGAAATAGCAATATGATGCTCAGTCATTCGACGCTCGCTCATCACCACAGCGTGGATTCTCTGGGCCATTTCTGGCGTTGCTGATGTCACGGACCTTCCTGGACGGGGGTCGTGTACAAGGTTTCTCTGCCGCGCTTTAAACTCTGATGTGTTTGCGGCTGCATGGGAAGGTGTTGTACTCATATCATCATGGATGATTTTTCATGTGAAGCCCTTTTCTGCAAGTACTTGATCATCACGTTCCTCGTGTTTGTCCATTTTCCAAAGGTAATAGAATCCTGCTTATGTTTCTGACTTGTTTGCTCTTTTTCGTGGATATATGAAACCACGTAATGTCCACAACAAACGGAGCACCTCCATGGTCCAATGAATAGAACATCTGAAGGAGATCTGAAGGTCGGTGTTTCGATCCCCCGGCCACGTCATACCAAAAGACGTTTAGATATGGGAATTGTTGTTTCCCCGCCTGGCGCTCGAAATTAAGGGGAGAAATACAAGGACTGGTCGGCTCGGAGTCCGAGTGAGGTATCCATTTGAAACTGGAGCATGGTATCTCAGTGGGCTATCACGGTAAAAGCGGCATACGTGCAGACGAGTACAAGCAGAATTGTTCTTCAGCAACACATGCTTGTCTTAAGAGGCGACTATACTTGTAAGAAGCGAGTAACGGGATCGGATGGTCAGGTTCGCTGACTAGGGTGATGCATGCCATCGTATCCCAATGGCGAAGATCAATGTGCATGATGACAATCACTGGATTGTCTGGTCCAGACTCGATTATTTATCATTTAACTGGAATATTGCCGAGTGCGGCGTCAAACAACAAACAAACAAACAAACAAAAAGACACACCTGAGCGCGCGCACGCACGCACGCACACACACACAGTCGCTATATAAATGCAATGGTCATGAACTCGACGTTAAACAAAATTTCTAGTAACCTCATAACAAAATATGCCACTATAACGGAATTCCTTCTGTGTGAGGCTCATGACTTATAAGTCAACCCTCGCATATACCAGGCAACTGTATTAAGTTCCATGCTATTGATTGATGCGCCATTCCATTGCGATATGTGCCCTGTATTGATGGAACATGTATGAGCACGTTTTTCAAAAACACCATGGAAAGCTGTCAAGTAGGTTTTAAGTCATCTTCCCGAGGCAAGGGAGTTAACTGACTTTAAAAGTCCAGTTTCGACCCTTGCCGAACTAGGCTGGAATTCCTGGGCCCGATCGTAGCGGCACCACTGGCTATTACGAGTTATGTTCCTTCTATGCCTCTCCTATGGACCAATCAGATTCCACCTCTCGTATCACTTGCATTTGATCTGATCGATAACCAAGATCTATATTGTGACGAAACGGGTCTTACATCGCGAAGTGCATAGAATCACGTGAGCACTTTGATTAAAAATATAAAAAGATTTAGAAAATATCTGTTGACAACGAGCTAGCGGTGCACATGCTTTACAAATCCTGCAGTCGACCGAAATCTGCATGACACTTTACAAACCGGATTTCGATCTCGGTGCGCGATTTTGATTGGACTATGCATAGACTCGTTAGTCCAGCCAAAATCTAACTCCATAATACCAGCCTAGTTCGGCAAGGGTGGAAACTGGACTTTTATTGTCAGTTAACTCACTTGCCTCGGGAAGATGGTTTCAAGTTGATCGTCAGGTTTGGTGCATTACGTTTTTGCAAATATTTCATTTGAGGTTAGGTTGAATTGGCTTAACGTCGCGTTCAAGACTGTTGCACTTATATAACAACGTGCATGCACGTATGTGTGTGGCTATTTGCACTAGTCCGACAAATGCCGATTTTATAGTGCTAGCCCATTGAGATACCATTGCGCAGTTTAACATGAATATCCCACTCAGACACAGTATACTGACTCCGAGCCTACCAGTTCTAATATTAGTCCCCTAATGCCGAGCGTCAGGCAGGGAAACAACAAGTACCATTTTAAACGTCTTTTGGTTTCACACGGCCGGGGATCGAACCCCGGACCTGTCACTCTCCTTTCAGACGCACCCTCCACTAAAGGAATGGCGATAACTGAGTTTTCCTGTCATGTTAGGCTTATATGCCTTATGAAAATATTATTTCGTTTATGTACGTACTTTCAGTGAAAGAAATCGCTTATTGTGGTATTAGTGGTATCAGCAACACAACGGTGACACTTACTTGGCGGTTTATTTTTTATTATGATTGTAACAACCGTTCTAATTTACAACACTCCGTGTCTTTCAGAGACAACATTGCTCGTCTCCAGCAGAGATCAGTATGAAGTCCAAGTCATGGTTCCTCTTTTGCATATCTTGCATATGCGTATCTATGTACCTCTGCTGGAACCTCGGCGCGATGACATCACAGCCACGATTTCGTATATTCTGTCAACAATCCATGAAGGAACTTGGACACAATAGAATGATCGGGAAATTAAGCGAGATGAAAGCAGAGCCACCAATGTCAGCTACTTCAAAGCGTACATTACCCGCTTTCAGCACGACAAGACTTTATTCTTCAAAGACTCGGGATGATGACTTTATACCTAACTCAGAACTATATTCAACTTTAGTAAATGGAAATGACATTAACCTTCATATTGAAAAACACTTCACTATGCTGGCAAACGAGACAAAAGACCCTTTCATCAACCTCCACCGATATTCCTTCACTCATAGTTCAGACAAATGTTCAAGGGGAAGCCTTTTCTTAATAATAGTGGTACATTCTGCTCCCATGAACAAGAATAAGAGGGATCTTATCCGAACATCTTTTGGGTCTGTTGAAAGCTACAGGGACAATCGCCTGGCAGTTGTCTTTTGTTTGGGAGCTGTCAGACAGCAATCTGTGCACGAATCCATAAACAGAGAATCGCAACATTACAATGATATTGTTCAGGGCAATTTCCTGGATAGTTATAAAAGTCTAAACAGAAAACACATCATGGCTATGCACTGGGTCACATTAAACTGTAACCCACGGTATATCCTTAAATTAGACGATGACACCTTTGTTAACCCTTATAGAATTATAGATTTTTTACTAATAGCAAATCCTTTGGGAATGACGATGCATTGTAAAATCATTTCAGGTGATCCGCCAAATAGAAGAAAAAAATCTAAATGGTACACATCGGTATCCCAGTATCCATTTCCAGTCTTGCCACCATTTTGTCTCGGCTTTGCTTATATTACAACACCAACAGCTTGGAGCGCCATGTACAAAGCTTCGGAAACTTACCGTCTCATGGACATGGATGATGTGTATGTAAGTGGTGTGTTGGCCACGAAGGTTGGAGTGGAAAAGAGAAACTTCGAGAACTTGTTGTACAGCTGTCCTACAGATAGTTCCAGGATGACTGAAAGAGCGTTGAATGTCAAAGCAATTGTTTTAGACAGAAGAAACAAATGTAGAGATATTCCCTTTACATTCTGGCCCAAACTGCAGGAAATGAATAACATAGATTAGTGAAATTTCATACTGGAATAGAAGGGATAAAACCAGGTAACAATCGCACATGTAAAGGTTAAACCAGGCGACCAAGATTTCCGTCTTAGCCCTTAGCAAAGGTGAGCATAAAGAACCAAACAAGACGCCTGTTCAGCTTGTCTTGCATTGGAGATTTGAGTGTTCCAGCCATTCGTGATCATCTCTACATGACCAACATGCTGTACAGATATCTGTTTAAGCCGATCTGGCAGCTTGATGCTTGATGTCAGGAGCTGTATAAAACTAACTTCGTGGAATTTTATCATTAAATGCAAACATACACACGGGAGACACAGTAAACAGTCTCTCGCGATGTAGCCAGATACAGAAAGATGTATCTGTTGATGTCTTTAATGTATATACACCTGGAAAGGTGTTATGTATTACCTTTAGAAATAGCTATTTGTTAACATTGTTTCCATTTTCTGAGGAATCTTTGTACACAAAGTGTCATAATCATATTAAAATACAGAAACTGATGATCTAATGATATGGTTTGTGAATGTCCAATGCCAATACTTATTTGACTGCCCTTTCAATAACTTCCCTTGGTTCTGTGCATCATGTTATGTGACCCAGAACTTGAGACACACGACCCGTGAAGACCCGGGGTAGAACAGGTCTTCAGAACCCATGCCTGCTGTAAAAGTTGACAATGCTTGTCGTAAGAGGCTACTAACGGGATTCGGTGGTCAGGCTCGCTGATTTGGTTGATGCATGTCATCGTATCCCAATTGCGTAGATCGGTGCGCATGATATCAATCACTGGATGGTCTGGTCCAGACTCGATTATTTACAGACCGCAGTCATATACCTGGAATATTGCTGAGTGTGGCGTTAAACAAAAAAAACAACTTGCGACACACAACTTTTCAACAGGTACCAGTGGTCGTGTACCCATATATTGTCGTAACTGCTTTCGGGCGTCAAGTGGGACCCTACTACAGTTACCTACACGCATTGTCGTTCCTTGTCATCATGGCCAGTTAAGCCATGACTTTGCAGCTCGCCCTGTCAGCATCAATAGATTGATTGGTCTAACGACGCTTACTCCGAATATTCAGTATGTATACTCACAAAATAAAGAAACGCAACACCCGCTTTATATACTCACATTAGGTTTATTTACTCTCCGTCCATCTAATTATATACGACAGGATCAGACCGACCAGGATCGTCACTAAATGAGAAGAACGTAGAACGATCCGGGTTCGACCCGATCGACTGGAAACCGCGCTCTCCTCTCCAAATGTTGACCCGCCGTGATAATGCTGGAAGAGTGCTAAAAGCGGCGTAAAACCATACTCACTGACCCCTACTGTTGACGGTATCATTTTAAAGTGTTCGGGCCTGGCCTGTCTTTGTCACAGGTCATCATAAATCCTTTTAATTGATTAAGAGCAATATCAGACAATGAACTCGTGTTTGTGTCGTGATCAGAAAACTACCGGAACCTACTAACCGATTAAAGGTGTCTATTGATTAAATGGCGACGACACCACCGAAGCTATCCCGAAATATCCTGTCACTGTAATCGCCCTATTGATTGCCTGCTTGTTTGTGCCAACACTTAGGCTTTCTGTCTACCTCGTGTTTAAAGCTGTAACCATCCAATATAAAAGTTGTCTTTGTTATAATTTTGGGGATGCATTTTTACCTTATAACATCCTCCGCCTGTGGACAAGAGCTGTCAACAACTCGGATGAAGTAAATACTAGGTCAGGTCTGATATGTTAAAATACAATCACAATTAGCACAATTGAAGTAAAACTGGATCGATCATTCCATATATAAAATTGTAACCAATTTCAAAAATGTATGAATACCCGGAAAACAGCGAATATTCTAATTTATCATATAATGGGTAGGTTTCTCGGCAGGATCAAGCCAACGGATAAAAACGATATCCGTTGGGGTCATATGCGGATAGAGATGCAAATATCAAAGGTCAAGTAGGACTTCTTTCACTGTTTATAAACAAACATGGCGTCGCCCTCGTCATTCGGCGATCGAGTCAGAATTAACCATCGGGAGTCTGGATAAACTACAGAGATAATTGCTATCATTATAAAAAGAACAGTCTAATATACTGAAAATCAGTGTCTATCTGTGACGTAGCTGAGGCATTTTATAAGTTTTGGCATCTTTGGAGATATAAATTTCGAAACAATTTTGCGAGGGCACGAGGCCTAGCCAAGCGGGATCAGTAGCCATATCTGTGCTTGTAGACCTCTGCGGCTTGAAACCTTCTCCACAAATCAAAATAGTTGGATTTTGCCGAAATATGTTTGAATTTTTACCTTGCTTCGTTTTGTCGCTGTTTGTACATCTGACTACGTTTCTTAACGTTATGACAGGACAGACCGACTGTCAACAACGTCTGACCGTGGCCATGACGTCTCATAAACTAGGGTTAGAGTAGCTTCCCTTTGACAAAGGGCAGTTACTCTAGCGGACAGACCTATGGATTGCCGCGAAAGGCAATTAAAAACGATTGTTGTTTTGCGTATATGTTGCTTCGCCACTGTATAAGAAACAGATTTCAGTTGGAACTATATTGGCTACTGTCATTGTCCGACTGACACATCACTTACCCTGTGACGTAATAAATATAAATGCGCGCATTCCAGGAAAATTCGCAATGTTTCGGTAATGTTTGTGAGAGAGGGAAAGCGATTTTAAAGCACAGAATTAAAGAATGGCATTATATGATAAAGATATTATCACGCTTGTGTGTTTGGGGATGGTCAATATCCCGTATTAGCAATAAACACTTTGTATTTAGCTCGCCAAGGACCTCTATAGTCAAAATGTACTTACATGCTAAAGAATAAGGGAAATGACCCCATGTTACTTCGCATAACCACAAATCATAAACATCACGATATAGTATTCAAGTACAATATATAATTGATTAAAAGTGATCCACAAATGTCAAATGTCACTGCACATGGCCAAAATATGACACCACCATTCATAAAAGTTCATGTGTCGCTGGTCCCAATCGAATTCACTGGCCCCTTTCTGGTATCAAAATGTCAATTGACCGAACGCTGACCAACGTGAAAAGTTAATGTCTGAACACATGGCCTGTTCACACAGTATGGTCCACGACAGGGGTGTCACTATCATCATTGTATGTCATTATTATATATTAATTCATGTATTTTGCATGATATAAACACACTTGTTTGAATAAACCCACAGCTCTCTCCTCTCTTGTTTCAAGTCTACCTCCAAAAAGGTAATTCCCCATATCGAGGCCTGACAGTTATTTGACCCTTGGCAAAGCTGTCTTAATAGGTTGCGTTATAATTAAATTTAAAAAAATAATATTTTTCGAGTTTCCATTGCAACCGGGCATGTCATATTGGCGGGGAATGAGTATTTCATGCTTGTTATTGTCAAAAATCTATTTTTATCATGTATATTTCTTCAGTTGGTCATTTTTCTGAGGAACCATTGCTTAATCATTATATTACATAATCCCTGTCCCCACACTTTTCCCAGTCCCCACACTCCACCCTCTCCACACACTCCACCCTGTCCCCACATGTCTAGCTGTACCTACTCTCCTCCCTGTCCCCACACTTTTCCCAGTCCCCACACTCCACCCTCTCCCCACACTCCACCCTCTCCCCACGCTCCACCCTGTCCCCACACTCCAACCTCTCCCCACACATCTCCCTCTCCCAACACTCCACCCTCTCCCCACGCTCCACCCTGTCCCCACACTCCAACCTCTCCCCACACATCTCCCTCTCCCAACACTCCACCCTCTCCCCACACTCCACCCTCTCCCCACGCTCCACCCTGTCCCCACACTCCAACCTCTCCCAACACATCTCCCTCTCCCAACACTCCACCCTCTCCCCACACTCCACCCTCTCCCCACGCTCCACCCTGTCCCCACACTCCAACCTCTCCCCACACATCTCCCAGTCCCCACACTCCACCCTCTCCCCACACTCCACCCTCTCCCCACGCTCCACCCTGTCCCCACACTCCAACCTCTCCCCACACATCTCCCTCTCCCAACACTCCACCCTCTCCCCACGCTCCACCCTGTCCCCACACTCCAACCTCTCCCCACACATCTCCCTCTCCCAACACTCCACCCTCTCCCCACACTCCACCCTCTCCCCACGCTCAACCCTGTCTCCACACTCCACCCTGTCCCCACACATCTCCCTGTCCCCACACTCCACCCTGTCCCCACACTCCACCCTGTCCTCATACTCCATCCTCTCCACACACTCCACCCTGTCCCCACATATCTAGCTGTTCCCACACTCCACCCTGTCCCCATACTCCATCCTCTCCACACACTCCACCCTGTCCCCACATGTCTAGCTGTACCTACTCTCCTCCCTGTCCCCACACATCTCCGTCCCCACACATCTCCCTGTCCCCACACCCTACCCTGTCCCCACACTTTTCCCAGTCCCCACACTCCATCCTCCCCCCACACTCCACCCTGTCCCCAAATATCTACCTGTCCCCAGACTCCACCCTGTCCCCACACTTTTCCCAGTCCCCACACTCCACCCTCTCCCCACTCTCCACCCTCTCCCCACACTCCTCCCTGTCCCCACACTCCAGACCTCTCCCCGGATGTCTCCCTGTCCCTACTCTCCTCCCAGTTCCCACACATCTCCCTGTCCCCACACATCTCCCTGTCCCCACATATCACCTTCTCCCCACACTCCACCCTGTCCCCACATATCACCCTCTCCCCACACTCCACCCTGTCCCCACACTCCACCCTGTCCCCAGATGTCTCCCTGTCCCTACTCTCCTCCCAGTTCCCACACATCTCACTGTCCCCACACATCTCCCTGTCCCCACATATCACCTTCTCCCCACACTCCACCCTGTCCCCACATATCACCCTCTCCCCACACTCCACCCTGTCCCCACACTCCACCCTGTCCCCAGATGTCTCCCTGTCCCTACTCTCCTCCCAGTTCCCACACATCTCACTGTCCCCACACATCTCCCTGTCCCCACATATCACCTTCTCCACACACTCCACCCTGTCCCCACATATCACCCTCTCCCCACACTCCACCCTGTCCCCACATATTACCCTCTCCCCACACTCCACCCTGTCCCCACATATCACCCTCTCCCCATACTCCACCCTGTCCCCACACATCTCCCTGTCCCAACATATCTCCCTGTCCCCACACTCCACCCTGTCTCCACATTTCACCCTGTCCCCAGGTGTCTCCCTGTCCCCACACTCCACCCTGTCTCCACACACTTCCCTGTCCCCACATTTCACCCTGTCCCCAGATGTCGCCCTGTCCCCCCACTCCACCCTGTCTCCACACATCTCCCTGTCCCCACACATCACCCTCTCCCTACACTCCACCCTGTCCCCACACTTCTCCTTGTGCCAACTCTCCTTCCTGTCCCCACATATCTTTCTGTCCCCACACTCCACCCTGTCTCCACACATCTCCCTGTCCCCACATATCACCCTCTCCCTACACTCCACCCTGTCCCCACACTTCTCCTTGTGCCAACTCTCCTTCCTGTCCCCACATATCTCTCTGTCCCTACTCTCCTCCCAGTCCCCACACTTCTCCCTGTTCCCACACTTCTCCCTGTCCCCACATATCACCTTCTCCCCACACTCCACCCTGTCCCCACATATCACCCTCTTCCCACACTCCACCCTGTCCCCACATATCACCCTCTCCCCACACTCCACCCTGTCCCAACATATCTACCTGTCCCTACTCTCCTTCCAGTCCCCACACTCCACCCTGTCCCCACACATCACCCTCTCCCCACACTCCACCATGTCCCCACATATCACCCTCTCCCCACACTCCACCCTGTCCCCACATATCACCCTCTCCCCACACTCCACCCTGTCCCCACATATCTACCTGTCCCTACTCTCCTCCCTGTCCCCACACATCTCCCTCTCCCCACACTCCACCATGTCCCCACATATCACCCTGTCCCCACACTCCACTCTGTCCCCACATATCACCCTCTCCCCACACTCCACCCTGTCCCAACATATCTACCTGTCCCTACTCTCCTTCCAGTCCCAGCACATCTCACTGTCCCCACACATCTCCCTCTCCCCACACTCCACCATGTCCCCACATATCACCCTGTCCCCACACTCCACCCTGTCCCCACATATCACCCTCTCCCCACACTCCACCCTGTCCCCACATATCTACCTGTCCCTACTCTCCTCCCTGTCCCCACACATCTCCCTGTCCCCACACTCCACCCTCTCCCCACACTCCTCCCTGTCCCCACATTCCACTCTGTCCCCACATATCACCCTCTCCCCACACTCCACCCTGTCCCAACATATCTACCTGTCCCTACTCTCCTTCCAGTCCCAGCACATCTTACTGTCCCCACACATCTCCCTCTCCCCACACTCCACCATGTCCCCACATATCACCCTGTCCCCACACTCCACCCTGTCCCCACATATCACCCTCTCCCCACACTCCACCCTGTCCCCACATATCTACCTGTCCCTACTCTCCTCCCTGTCCCCACACATCTCCCTGTCCCCACACTCCACCCTCTCCCCACACTCCTCCCTGTCCCCACACTCCACTCTGTCCCCACATATAACCCTCTCCCCACGCTCCACCCTGTCCCCACATATCTACCTGTCCCTACTCTCCTCCCAGTTCCCACACATCTCACTGTCCCCACACATCTCCCCGTCCCCACACATCACCCTCTCCCCACGCTCCTCCCTGTCCCCACATATCACCCTCTACCCACACTCCACCCTCTCCCCACACTTCTCTTTGTGCCAACTCTCCTTCCTGTCCCCACATATCTCTCTGTCCCAACACTCCTCCCAGTCCCCACACTTCTCCCTGTTCCCACACTTCTCCCTGTCCCCACATATCTCCCTCTCCCCACACTTCACCCTGTCCCCACATATCACCCTCTCCCCATACTCCACCCTGTCCCCACATATCTACCTGTCCCTACTCTCCTCCCTGTCCCCACATATAACCCTCTCCCCACACTCCACCCTCTCCCCACATATCACCCTTTCCCCACACTCCACCCTGTCCCCACACATCACCCTCTCCCCACACTCCACCCTGTCCCCACATATCTACCTGCCCCTACTCTCCTCCCTGTCCCCACACTCCACCCTGTCCCCACATATCTACCTGTCCCTACTCTCTTCCCTGTCCCCACATATCTCCCTGACCCCACACTCCACCCTGTCCCCACACACCTCCCAGTCCCCACACTTCTCCCTCTCCCCACACATCTCCCCGTCCCCACACATCACCCTCTCCCCACGCTCCTCCCTGTCCCCACATATCACCCTCTACCCACACTCCACCCTCTCCCCACACTTCTCCTTGTGCCAACTCTCCTCCCTGTCCCCACATATAACCCTCTCCCCACACTCCACCCTCTCCCCACATATCACCCTTTCCCCACACTCCACCCTGTCCCCACATATCACCCTCTCCCCACACTCCACCCTGTCCCCACATATCTACCTGCCCCTACTCTCCTCCCTGTCCCCACACTCCACCCTGTCCCCACATATCTACCTGTCCCTACTCTCCTCCCTGTCCCCACACATATCCCTGTCCCCACACATCACCCTCTTCCCACACTCTACCCTGTCCCCACATATCACCCTCTCCCCACACTCCACCCTGTCCCCACATATCACCCTCTCCCCACACTCCACCCTGTCCCCACATATCACACTCTCCCCACGCTCCACCCTGTCCCCACATATCTACCTGTCCCTACTCTCCTCCCTGTCCCCACACATCACCCTCTCCCTACACTCCACCCTATCCCGACATATCTACCTTTCCCTACTCTCCTCCCTGTCCTGTCACTTCACCTTGTCCCCTCTGATCTCCCTGTTTCACACACTACAATCTCAACACAAATTTATCTGTCCCTACTCTCCTCCCTGTCCTCACATTTCTCTCTGTCCTCACACTGCCCCCGATCCCTACACACCTCCCTGTCCCCACTCTCCACCCTGTCCCCACACACCTCCCTGTCCCCACTCTCCACCCTGTCCCCACACACCTCCCTGTCCCCACACTCCACCCTGTCCCCACTCTCCACCCTGTCCCCACTCTCCACCCTGTCGCCACTCTCTTCCCTGTCCTCACATATCTCCCCATCCCCACATATCTAGCTGTCCCTACTCCCCCCCTGTCCCCACATATCTCCCTGTCCCCACACTCCACCCTCTCCCCACACTCCTCCCAGTCCCCACACTCCACCTTGTCCCAAAACTCTACCCTGTCCCCACATGTCTACCAGTCCCCACACTCCACTCTGTCCCCCCTCCTCCCAGTCCCCTAACCCCCCCCCCCCCCCCTCTCCCCACCTATCTTCCTGTCCCCACATATCTCCCTATACCCACACTCCACCTTGTCCCCACACATCCCCCTGTCCTCACTGTCCTCCTTGTCCCCACTCTCCTCCCTGTCTTCACACTTCCCCCCTGTCCTCACTGTCCTCCCTGTCCCCACTCTCCTCCTTGTCCTCACACTTCCCACTGTCCTCACTCTCCCCCTGTCCTCGCTGTCCTCCCTGTCTTCACACTTCCCCTTGTCTCCCCGCTTCTCCTGTCTTCACACTTCCCCCGACCTCACTGTCCTCCCTGTCCCCACTCTCCTCCTTGTCATCACACGTCCCCTTGTCCTCACACGTTCCCCTGTCCTCACTCTCCCCCTGTCCTCACTCTCCCCCTGTCCTCACTGCCCCCCCCCCCCCCCCCCGCCCCCCGTCCCCACGCTCCTCCCTGTCCCCGCTCTCTCTCCTTGTCCTCACACTTTCCCCTGTCCCCCTCCCCCCTCCCCCTGTCCTCACTGTCCTCCCTTTCCCTGTTCTCACTCTCCCCCTGTCCTCACACTTCCCCCTGTCGTCACTGTCCTCCCTGTCTCCACGCTCCCCCTGTCCTCACACTTCCCCCTGTCGTCACTGTCCTCCCTGTCTCCACGCTCCCCCTGTCCTCACACTTCCCCCTGTCGTCACTGTCCTCCCTGTCTCCACGCTCCCCCTGTCCTCACACTTCCCCCTGTTCTCACACACCTCCTGTCCTCACTGTCCTCCCGGTCTCCACGCTCCCCCTGTCCCCACACTTCCCCCTGTTCTCACTCTCCTCCCTGTCCCCACACTTCCCCCTGTTCTCACTCTCCTCCCTGTCTTCACACTTCCCCCTGTTCCCCCTGTCCACACACTTCCGCCTGACCTCACTGTCCTCCCTGTCTCCACGCTCCTCCTGTCCTCACACTTCCCCCTGTTCTCACACACCTCCTGTCCTCACTGTCCTCCCTGTCTCCACGCTCCCCCTGTCCCCACACTTCCCCCTGTTCTCACTCTCCTCCCTGTCTTCACACTTCCCCCTGTTCCCCCTGTCCACACACTTCCCCCTGTTCTCACTCTCCTCCCTGTCTTCACACTTCCCCCTGTTCCCCCTGTCCACACACTTCCCTCTGTTCTCACTCTCCTCCCTGTCTTCACACTTCCCCCTGTTCCCCCTGTCCACACACTTCCCCCTGTTCTCACTCTCCTCCCTGTCTTCACACTTCCCCCTGTTCCCCCTGTCCACACACTTCCCCCTGTTCTCACTCTCCTCCCTGTCTTCACACTTCCCCCTGTTCCCCCTGTCCACACACTTCCCTCTGTTCTCACTCTCCTCCCTGTCTTCACACTTCCCCCTGTTCCCCCTGTCCACACACTTCCGCCTGACCTCACTGTCCTCCCGGTCTCCACGCTCCCCCTGTCCCCACACTTCCCCCTGTTCTCACTCTCCTCCCTGTCTTCACACTTCCCCCTGTTCCCCCTGTCCACACACTTCCCCCTGTTCTCACTCTCCTCCCTGTCTTCACACTTCCCCCTGTTCCCCCTGTCCACACACTTCCCTCTGTTCTCACTCTCCTCCCTGTCTTCACACTTCCCCCTGTTCCCCCTGTCCACACACTTCCCCCTGTTCTCACTCTCCTCCCTGTCTTCACACTTCCCCCTGTTCCCCCTGTCCACACACTTCCCCCTGTTCTCACTCTCCTCCCTGTCTTCACACTTCCCCCTGTTCCCCCTGTCCACACACTTCCCTCTGTTCTCACTCTCCTCCCTGTCTTCACACTTCCCCCTGTTCCCCCTGTCCACACACTTCCCCCTGTTCTCACTCTCCTCCCTGTCTTCACACTTCCCCCTGTTCCCCCTGTCCACACACTTCCCCCTGTTCTCACTCTCCTCCCTGTCTTCACACTTCCCCCTGTTCCCCCTGTCCACACACTTCCCTCTGTTCTCACTCTCCTCCCTGTCTTCACACTTCCCCCTGTTCCCCCTGTCCACACACTTCCGCCTGACCTCACTGTCCTCCCGGTCTCCACGCTCCCCCTGTCCCCACACTTCCCCCTGTTCTCACTCTCCTCCCTGTCCCCACACTTCCCCCTGTTCTCACTCTCCTCCCTGTCCCCACACTTCCCCCTGTTCTCACTCTCCTCCCTGTCTTCACACTTCCCCCTGTTCCCCCTGTCCCCACACTTCCCTCTGTTCTCACTCTCCTCCTTGTCTTCACACTTCCCCCTGTTCCCCCTGTCTCCACGCTCCTCCTGTCCTCACAGTCCTCCCTGTCTCCACGCTCCTCCTTGCCCTCACACTTCCCCCTGTTCTCACTCTCCTCCCTGTCTTCACGCTCCCCCCGTCCTCACCCCCCCCCCCCCCCGTCCTCACTGTCCTCCCTGTCTCCACGCTCTTCCTGTCATCACACTCCTGTCCACACACTTCCCCCTGTCCTCACTGTCCTCCTTGCCCCCACTCTCCTCCCCATCACCACTCTCCTTCATATAAGATACAGCTGTGTAAGGGACAGATGACCCTTGTTGCGGATTTTGAACATACTTCTTCTAACAATAAACATATTTGAGGTATTGAGATGGTTTGTTCTCACTTTGCCGGCAGACTGGGGGATTTAAAACAAACGGTTCGGGCATTTCAAAGCTATAGTCTGTTCCAGGATGAACAGTGTGATCCAGCCAAGCCTTGGCAATAAGGAGTATTATTTATTTCATCATAAATTGATATCCATTTTTATAATAAATTACACTATTTTATAAATACTGCCTCACCCAGTAAGTGTCTTTGCAAAGTGGCAAATACACTGGTCGACGCTTTATCTATTCCTAATTCTGACGTTGGGCAGAGTTTAGTGTACGAGCGTACAATGGGCTAGACTAACATTTAGTCTCTGAAATCTTATATTACACAATATCCTTCTTGACTCTAAAAATAAAAAAATTCCCTATGCTGATTTCAGAGAGCTAGCTTGAGCTGGCTAGACTTGCTTTTGTATGCATTTCTAGATTATTATTTTTTCATAAAATAAATATATTCCACGGTCATGGTGCAGGACTAACAATGGGCACAAGTTGCGTTATAGGTAGAGTATGTCAAGACAATTAAACTCTCTATGCATGCCTCAGTATTCACAGGAGTCTGGAACTAACTATAGGCTTAATCACTAGTGTTGCAGGGATTATCTCGGTCTGATGGGGTTTTGTTACGAGAAAAATACCAGCCGGCAAAGGAGAACAGAACACCCCATTGAGATAGCCAGCATGGAGAATCTGGGTTTGCTATGCTTGGCTGGGTTTTATAGAATACCCCCTGATCAAGTTTAAATGGAATAGTTGCATGATAGGGGGTTTGCGTTTGTGTAAGATCTTCAACAATAAACAACAAACTCATCTGTAAGTCTAGGCATGCGCTCTTACTGTTCTTCAAACAACAATTAAGATTCCATGAAAGTAATATGCATGTATTAAACATTGCGTAACCAGTCGTTGTACAGCTATGTCTGAGTTTAACCAGAATGAATCAGAGCATATCTTTCCAAAAATCTACACGTATGAATTTGCTACTACAAGGGTAGCTGAACTCGTCAAAGTCGTTTCTCGGCGAGATGAAAAGTCGGATTCAATTCATTGAACGAGTCACGCGAGTGTGTTTTGGGATGGTAAATATTGAACATTGAACATCGCAAGCTTTCCTGGAATGTGCGTATTAATCTGTATCATGTCAGGAGGTGAGTAATTTGTCTGTCGAACATTTCCAACAGGCAATATAGTTTCATTTGAAACCTGTGTTTTAGACAGTGGCCTAACGACATATTGTCAAAATAACTATTGCCCACACATAGCGTTTCTAACTGACTTTCGCTCGTCACGCGAAAGACCTTTCTCCCTTGTTCATCATATCAACTTCTAAACTTCTAATTTAAAGAAGTTATAACAATAATCGGTGAGTGTAGTGTAAACAAGCGGTAGGTCTTGAGACGTATTATTGATTCCTTATGTCTTATTAGAAAAAAATGTTGTGTTTACTTTAGTTGTCTACCGTTCAGTGAGGAATTGGTGGAGATGTTGCCATCAATGTGTTGTTGTTACCGCAGTTACAGATAGTGTTGCAGACAAGTGTAATTATGATATCCCCAGTCCTGCAAAGATCTGCTGATCGTAGGTTCGTATCCCAGATCATGATTTGGATCTGCGGGAACAACACACCTGCTTATGCGCTCGCTAATATGTGTGCGAGCTATATTGTTACAGTGCATATATTTCATTACACTTTTTATATTTTTAACAAATTAAACTTAAACTAGAAAATTCGAAAATTCGAAAGTCGCTAGACCAGTATTTCTCGTTTTTATCGCCACTGGTCGACCATGACGGCTGCTCCTTGGCAAGCTCATTCACGCGAACAGTAAATTACGTAATCATAGATAAAGTCGGCGCGTTCGTCCGGCCCTTGTTCTATTGATAATGTTTGATAAACTGATTCTGATTCTGATAATGTTTGATAATGTTTGGAATGTCGAGCGCCCACGGAGATGAATAGAGGTTACCACGCGAGTGTGTTTGGTGATGGTAAATATCCTGCATTAGGAATAAACATAGTATTTAGAGAGCATTGGCGAGCTAAATACATAGTGCTTATTACTAATACACACTGGACGGGAAAACGATGCTTTTTGCTCCCCCTTGTACAACTGTTAACAGACAATCAGATGGCGCTGGTCCCCCGACGCACGTGATGCCCAAGGCTTCCCTTAGGGAGCATTAGGTTTCGTATCTCTGGCATGCCTTGCTCAAATGACATCACTAATGGGTCGTTTGGTCGGATTTAAAGGGGCACTGATCTAAAGCAATTCCCCGGGACTGGTTGTTGCCTTTGTTGTTGTTTTTTCCCAGTGAGTACCCGGATGTATAGCAGAAATCTAGACTAGTTCCGTAGTTCGCGACCTCTGCTGCGCCATTCGTGAGCGCATTAGTCATTTTTATGGGTAGTAATAAGGGCGTATGGTCACATTGATCAACAAAAGGAAGGTTTTCGAGATAATAAGGAAATGTAGGTATCGTTGTGGGTAGCATCGGTAATGGTGACGAAGTTTTGATAAGTCACTAGCTTGGTAATTTTGCGATTTTCGTTTACACTATTTTGACTTGCAACACAAAGTAACTATTTCACCTGAGCATTGAAAATGTCACGTTGAAAAGTACATTTCTATGTTGTATGGCTTCTAATCCTACATAATAATCTGTTGTGGTGTTTTAGGCCCTTTTGATCGTCTTAATCAATTTTAGTCGATCTGGACAGATCTTTCAGTCAAAATGACTGAAATGTTTACACATTTTATAAATTGCCTGAGAGAATCACATTTTACAAATTGACGGTAATATATACACGATGACAAGGGAAAAGACTTGTGAAAACAACGTCTATCGCGCATTGAAGAATTTCCCAACCAAGCCGTAGAGGAACAAGAACGAATCGGTTCAATGCTACAGCAAATGAAGGAAAACAAAATGCAAATACCATAATTACAACCTACCAAATTTATGTGTATAATTTTAGGCAGCTTCCTTGTTCGAGGAATGTATCCGTGAATATCCACACAAAGGAATAATATCCCACTCGTCTGCAGCTGTACAAAGAAACTTATTCGATGTCCAATCAAATATTTTGAAAGATATATATCGTTTCGGGATATTATAACCCGTGTTCGTTTCTCAACTGATCACTTGGATTGTTTCAGGTGTTTCACATAGGTGTCAAGTCTCAAGGGTCGGCTGAGAAAGCCCACGTGACAACTATTTTCATAACGTCCACGGTTCCTAAAAAATCCATTGAGTGATAGATAACAATGAGCAATCAATCAACGTATTATCAGTTAACCCTTTGAACAAAGTATGTTGTTTTTACATTGGCACTTCACGCCATGATATGAGTGCATTCCTTTTGTTTTAGTAAATCTAGACATGTAAACACTCACTTTTGACATATCCACTGCGCAAGATAACAGTGATTAATCAATCAACGTACTTTCTGTTAATCCTTTGATGACTAGGAACGATCCGTTGATTTACAAAAAAAGGAAATCAACTGATCATTCACCTCTTGCTGGGCTGGCACGTGCATATTACATAACACACATTTCACCTCACTTCAAACCTGGATTTAGATTGAATAATTACCCCAGACACAATAAATGCCAAATGGGAACCTTTGTCAGGTAATCTGGGTGGCGCTACCACTAATTATACCTGTAATAAATTCATTAACTGAGCATCAAGTGAATGACGACAAATACACAAGTATAGGGTTATACCAGAAAACGTGGACAACAAGGGAGTAGTAATCGTATTATCGACGCAATCCGAAATCCGAAAATGCTTTCACTGCATGGATACTATTTATATTATTATTAAACTATAACCATCTGGGGTATTTCCCAATGACGACATCCGATGAGCTCCGCCGTTCTTTTTGTCTGTTTCTTCAGGCTGAAGAAATTAATTTACATGCGCCCCTTGTCGAAATCTTGTAGGAGATAGTAAGTCCTACTTAAGAGATAGTAAGTCTTACGTAGGCGATACTAAGTCCTACGTAGAAGATAATAAGTCCTACGTAGGAGATACTTAGACAACAAAAAATTCACCGTGGCCCTACTTCGCTTCCGTAGAACATCATAGAAGGAGAGGCACCCAGGAATCTTACAGTGGCATCAGGACTCATTAAGATGTTCAACTGGTCAGCAGGTGAGGGTTGCGGAAAATTACGATAGACTTCAGTTACAGATCTCCATAACGAATATCTAAAGTGTGAATAAATAAAAGTCATCTTCAGCGGGACGGTATTTGGAGATGGATTAGCATATGAACAATGATTCTCTTTAGGTAGCCAGTGCAGCGTATGATTTTATTGATAATGGTAATATGCACAGAGCGGATTAAATGAGGATCCACGAAGTTCGATCTAGTAGAAGTGTGTCATCAAGCCGCACAACATTGGCCTTTGACTGACTGTGGCGTTAAAACACACTCATTAATTTACTTATATGGGGAACTGAATGTTCATCAATTGTTATGGATTGTCGCGGAGCTGTGATCCAGAGAACAGGTTGCCATTAAATAAGAATAAAGTTACCAGAAAAAAGGGTATAACCTAGCCAATAAGCTTCCCTCAGTAACACCAGAGTAAGTCAGTACAAGACTGAAAACTGCCCCCATAATTATGTGTTTACAGACCAGTCGGGTAGTGCTACATGTATATTGTGAAAACACAACTGTTTAAGTGTTCTATCTTCACTGAACAAATAATGACCTGTGCTTGTCTATAGTGTTAACATTCAAATACATGATATCTGTATCCGGAGGGGGAGCATGAGCGGATACAGAGTATAAATTACCACCAAAGACAATAAATAGATCTTAATTGTGAGAATGTATGATGTATTGTCTCTAAATTGGGTCGAACGGCGTAAGCTCTACGTTTCTATTGGTAATAATGACAAGACAATGATTTTTTTAATTACACAGGTTACGGTATTAGCACGGTATGCATAGAGTTGGTGAAATAGTTCATGAAACTATTTCCGTAGAAAACTAAAATCACTGAACTCTTATATCTTTATCGAAAAGGAATGAGTTGGTTAAGGCTGACGTAAAACGGCTCAAAAATCGTGCTGCCAGAAGGTTATAATCAAGTATGTTTTTCTCGACTAGCCTCCCATTCACTGGCCATTCACTGGCGCAGGTTTTGACCATCATCTAAAACCGTCATTAAAATAAACTCTTGTTAGGCAATACTGATACTATTCTATTACCACCTGCTTTTGTGTAGTCAACTTGGACAGCCTAGTGCAGATAACAGAGACCGACATTACAACTTCAAAGTAATTGTTTTTGTGATAAGAGTAGAGCTGTAGGGGTATATAACTCCTTGGGTGTTGGTCCTCAGCAGGCTTGCCCTCATTTCGCCTACAATAATTCAAATGCTTAATTGCCTCACCCCTATTATATGAATGGGCATTGTCCATCTTAGGCTGTTAACTAATCCAAGCTCTAATCTAATCCAAGCGGCATGGAGGTTTAAAGTGAAGTTTTTACAACCTATGACAACTTCTCACAACTCTTGTTTGACTTGGTCATTCTGTTAATCCTTAGTTGTTTTGAATGTGCAAGTAAATCTTGTTTAGTAAATAAATCTTATTTAATAATTAAGGTGTAAAGAAGCCTATCATCGCTTCTCACATTGTTTGTTATTGTTACAAATTGGTTAGTTCTTAGTATTGGTTTAATTAAAGGAAATAAGATGTCTGCTCAATTGTTGAACTGTTATTGTTGTTATTATTGCATTGGTATATATGTACCTGACCTATCAGCTTACTATCCCGCAGATCTAGCCCAAAGTACTCAATGGGAAGTGCACGACGTCCCGCTAGGTAGTGACCACTTCCCCATAAACATAACCATAGGAAATACAAACGTACCAATCCAAACAGAAAACCAAGAACCAAAATTCCATTACAATAAAGCTAACTGGGACCAATTCCAAGATATCTGCAACGAAGCTAACCTAAACGAAATAGAAAATAATGATCCAGAAACCTATTGTAAAAACCTAACAGACTATATAATAAACGCAGCCAAAACCTCCATCCCCTTCAAAACATCTAAGACAGGCAAACCGACGGTACCATGGTGGAATGAGGAAATAGAACAGACTAGACGAAAACGTAAATCA